CAACCGCCCTCCTCCCGCTGGCTTCTTCTTGCGACTTTTCTTTTGTTGTTGCCGTGACCCGGGTCTGTTTTCTTGGCTGTTGTTGAAGGTGTTTTCCTGCTGCACCGGCTCTACGCCCTCCACCTCCTTCCCTGTGGTTTTAACCTTCCTCTTTCCCCGTGTGCTCTGAGCACGGGCACCTACGTAAAGATTTGCATTTCTGCCCCACTCCCCACCCCCACCCCCGCCCGCACCTCTTTGAAAAACAAAACCCCAATCTCCCAAAACCTCTGTGGGTCCGCGGTAGCGAGACGTGCAGGGGTTGATTTGTGGAGTGGGAGTCGCTGGCCCATTGCGGTGCTTGGGGCTCATTAAACTGTCACTCACCCCCCACCCCACTGGGTAAATGGGGTGATTAATGTCTGATATATTGGAATGGGGCGAGGGCATTTGTGGAGAATAGGCTGTGTCGCTTGGGGAGAAGAGTGGCTCGGGACCTAGGCGTTCATAATTATGTCATTCACCGCGAAGTTAGGGAAAGTTAGGCTTGTGACTTTGGGAAAGCGAGGACAGGGCAGAGTCACTGGGTTTTGTTACCGTTTGACTCTTTGCCACAGTTTTCTAATGACAACAGAGCAGTTACCACGGGGGCTGGGACTCTGGCCTCTGGCCTCAGCCCCTTTTTTACTTCTCACTCTCCTAAGTGCCTTGTGGAAAAGTGTTTGACATTCATGGATGTCGCAGCACCTTGCAGGGCGCTGGTCAGCCCAGCCCGGGTTACATTACCATTTCATCAGCCACTAGAAAAGACTTAAAACCCTAGCTAAAAAGTTCCTAAACTTCCTGCACTGCACACCCCCCCCCCACTTTCCTCTGAAAGGTTTTCTTGTGATCAAGAACATTACAGAGTAACGGGGAAAAAAAAAGAAAAGAAAAATGTTATGGGACACAGATCAAGGGAAGACAAGGTTCTGCTTTTTCTGCGCAGAAAGATCAGACACGCAGGTACAGCATTCATTTTAAGTGACTGTAGCAGGTTTTATCAGCTTATTAATTTGTCTCATTGAGCTGAAATACTTTCCAGGATTTCAGAAAGTGCAGTTTCAGCTTGTTGATACTGAGAATTGAAATTTGCATTAGCTTTGGCAATGTGAGAAATTTTCCCGAGAAGGTAGTTGTAGATAAGTTGTAAAGTAAGAGTGAAATAAGGTGAACCAGGCTGAAGTCATAGTTCCTCCTAGTAAGTCTGCCAGCGTTTCAGTGATGGATACCATTATCTCCACAGAAAAAAGCGGTAATAATATTGAAATGGGACTGGAGATGTCAAATGGGTTGGTTTAAAAATATCCCTAAGCTGCCTTTGAAACTAAACGTTGGAGTTGAATAAAAGTGAATCTGGATTTCCTGAATAGCACCGTGGCTTGAGTGTGCTGTCAGTATGCAAGCCAGTCCACCAACTTAAGACAGAAGTGTTGCTATTCCATAAATACAGTAGAACTCCATATGCTGAATTTTTCAATTTCTTCTGTTAGAAAGTTTGGGGGAAAAAAAGGAAGACTTTGAAGTATTTTGTTTATACTAACAGAAGAGAAAAGTTCTCCTAAGAAAAAGCTGGTGGCAGGAGTGTAGAGGAGTAGCATATGGCATTAAAAGGAGCACAGCTGGAGGTAGCATTTCCATCTGAACATGATGTCAGAGCAGCTGACAGCCTGCCATCCCTCAGCCTTTTATTCTAACACACAGACAGGGAGTTAGTGTGTGCGGATCTGTGGTGGAGAAGGTATCTCTTTCCTCTCTAACATCATCTCCACTTTGCATCTGTCTCTCTTAGTCTGCTTTTTTTCCACCGATGTAACAGACCTGGAGCCAGGAAGACTCAGAGGAAAGGACTTAATCAGGTTTATGTGTCCTAAAGGTAGGAGTAGCAAGAGATTAGATTGAGTGTATTTCTGTTTTGGTGTTTTATTTAATTTTTAAAAATCACATTACTTTTCTAACCCAGTTGAGGAATAATATGTGAAATTGAATATTAAATAATGTTCTTACTGGAGTTAAGTCTTGGGGGCTTGCTTAGTTTTAATTTTTATCCCTTTTACTTGAGCAAATAAATAACTTTAATACACAGAAATATTTCAAGTTTTGAAATGTTAAGAAAGGCTTTGAAATACTGCTTTTTGAGATCATTTTGGATTAAAATGCTTTTTTGTTATTCACTGCTGTTTAGATTCCTTTTGCTTGAGGGGGGCAGAAATAGTAAACTTGTCTGGAATCCAGCATTCAAACTTATATGAAAAGATTATTCTGGTTAAGAAGCTAGATTGTTGTGTAATTAATTCCACTGTGAAACTTTATTCTTCAAAACATTCAGCAGCACTACTGAAACATACAGCTGTAGGGCTTTTGAAACCGGAGGTTTTTTAAGATGAGGAAAAAAACAAAAAGCGAAAAACCAAACTTTTGTCCTCAGGAGAATAGTTTGACTGGTTTCCTCATTTCTCTTTCAAATATATATTTAAGAGATCTTTTATTTCAGCATAACAATAATTATTTGCAGGAGTTTTTGTGCTAGTGACTAATTTAGAACTTGTAGATTCGAGCTGCCTGAATTGGCCAGACAGCTGTAATCGCACCCCTCTGTTCTTAATCTCTTTATCTGGGCAGCAGCTGCCATATGGCCACAGTCAGCTGGATCAGATGTTTATAAGCTTCCTTCTTCGTCCCTCTCTGTCCTCTCAGCCTCCTAATTTGATCACGGCTACCTTGTGAGCTGCCCTCCAATCTTTATTTTTAGCCCTCTCAAGGATTAGGATTGATGTTAGCTGTGGGGCACTTAAAGTGATTGTATTGTAAATCTTGGTTTATTCTAGCAGTGGCATCTTGCAGAATGGATATGGCATTAGGATGAAAGTTTTAGTCTGTCTTGGCAAAGTGTAGAAAAAGAAGGGAAGTAATTTCTGAATACTGTTCACCCTCAGATTGCACTTGCTGCCGTGAGTGGCGTGGAGCCTGGCTTCTGGTCCCAGGAGAGGGGAAGCCAGGTTTTCTTTATTTTTACAGTTCACTCACTAAAGTTGAATTTCCACCCTTTGTAGTCTTTGCCTTTCCTCTCTCTCCATTTACCCCACCCCCAAACACACCAGAAAATAAGGCAGAGTTGCATAGTTGAATGAATAGAAGCTAGTGGGAAAACAAAATATATCATGTTATTTTGAAACAAAGTATATTGTGTTGGCAAGGTTAGGCAGAGCCGAAAAGAAGTTTTTCTAGAAAGGCTTTTAAAGTTGAATCTGTAAAGCTTTTGAGTTTCATTTAAGAGTGGTATGTCTTTATTTTGAAAATTTTGAATTAATTTTAATACAGACCTTATTTTGCCTTGTAGCAGATCAAAGTTTAGGTGAGAATTTTCAGAGTTAAAATAAAGGCTCTTTTGGTTCCTAATAGTGTTGAAGTACAGATTCCACCAGAAAAAGAAAAAATAGAACCATTTTTTTTTTCTCAATTCATTTGAAAAAAACCTTTGGATTTGTTCATAGTAAAGATGATCTTTTCCATCTGTTGGTATAGTTCCTTCTGATCTCGTACATGTGTGCTATACCTGCAAATCTTAAGGCATTAACATCTGTTTTTATACACAAGGCTTTTGTTGTCGTAACACTCTGACTTTAAAAGTAAGTTGTTTGCTGATTTCTGGACTAATTATGCGATTTCATTTTTTTCCCCCCCTTGACTCAGCCAAATGTGTGTGTGCGCGCGCGCGCGTGTGTGTGTGTGTGTATGCTTAAACTATGCAGAGTACAGTCAGGTATCAAAAGCATGAAATAAAAAGAATAGTTGAATGAGTTTTTTTGAATCTTCCAGAATGTATCTGGGACTTTCCTTTGTTCATGATATGAGTTGTTCCCTTTGGAACTAAAGCTATCTTGTAGTTTTATGCAGAACATAATTTGACAAGTAGAGTTAGCTAAATTTCTTTTGAAAGAGATTTCAACTCTTGTCCTCAGAGGCTGAAGTTAAATGTAGGCTTTGAAAACTTGATACAAAGTTCAGGGAAGGTGGAGATGCCTTGGAGAGTGTTTGCTGGGGTAAGGAAATTATGGAAGTGTACATTTTTCTTCCTAAATTTAGATCCTGGGTGTGTGATTTGGTAGTCCATGGGTGATAAGCCTGATTAAAATTCAGGGACATGTATCCCGGCAGCCAAGGCAGAATTATTATTTTTTTATATGGGGACAGAGTGCTGAAAAGTTGTTCCTGACTAGGTTCTAATGAGAAATTCTTCTTTCCACAGGTTATGAAGACAGTATGGAGTTTCCAGACCATAGTAGACATTTGCTGCAGTGTCTGAGCGAGCAGAGACACCAGGGTTTTCTTTGTGACTGCACTGTTCTGGTGGGAGATGCCCAGTTCCGAGCGCACCGAGCTGTACTGGCTTCATGCAGCATGTATTTCCACCTCTTTTACAAGGACCAGCTGGACAAAAGAGACATTGTTCATCTGAACAGCGACATTGTTACAGCCCCGGCTTTCGCTCTCCTGCTTGAATTCATGTATGAAGGGAAACTCCAGTTCAAAGACTTGCCCATTGAAGACGTGCTAGCAGCTGCCAGTTATCTCCACATGTATGACATTGTCAAAGTCTGCAAAAAGAAGCTGAAAGAGAAAGCCACCACGGAGGCAGACAGCACCAAAAAGGAAGAAGATGCTTCAAGTTGTTCGGACAAAGTTGAGAGCCTCTCAGATGGCAGCAGCCACATGGCGGGCGATTTGCCCAGTGATGAAGATGAAGGGGAAGATGAAAAATTGAACATACTGCCCAGCAAACGGGACTTGGCAGCTGAGCCTGGGAACATGTGGATGCGATTGCCCTCAGACTCAGCAGGCATCCCCCAGGCTGGCGGAGAGGCCGAGCCACACGCCACCGCAGCTGGAAAAACAGTAGCCAGCCCCTGCAGCTCAACAGAGTCTTTGTCCCAGAGGTCTGTCACCTCCATGAGGGATTCGGCAGATGTTGACTGTGTGCTGGACCTGTCTGTCAAGTCCAGCCTTTCAGGAGTTGAAAATCTGAACAGCTCTTATTTCTCTTCACAGGACGTGCTGAGAAGCAACCTGGTGCAGGTGAAGGTGGAGAAAGAGGCTTCCTGTGATGAGAGTGATGTTGGCACTAATGACTATGACATGGAACATAGCACTGTGAAAGAAAGTGTGAGCACTAATAACAGGGTACAGTATGAGCCGGCCCATCTGGCTCCTCTGAGGGAGGACTCGGTCTTGAGGGAGCTGGATCGGGAGGACAAAGCCAGTGATGACGAAATGATGACCCCGGAGAGCGAGCGGGTCCAGGTGGAAGGGAGCATGGAGAGCAGTCTGCTTCCTTACGTCTCCAACATCCTGAGCCCCGCTGGCCAGATCTTCATGTGCCCCCTGTGCAACAAAGTCTTCCCCAGCCCTCACATCCTGCAGATCCACCTGAGCACCCACTTCCGGGAGCAGGACGGCATCCGCAGCAAGCCGGCGGCAGACGTCAACGTGCCCACGTGCTCACTGTGCGGGAAGACTTTCTCCTGCATGTACACCCTCAAGCGCCACGAGAGGACTCACTCGGGGGAGAAGCCCTACACGTGCACCCAGTGTGGCAAGAGCTTCCAGTACTCGCACAACCTGAGCCGCCACGCCGTGGTGCACACGCGCGAGAAGCCACACGCCTGCAAGTGGTGTGAGCGCAGGTTCACGCAGTCGGGAGACCTGTACAGACACATTCGCAAGTTCCACTGTGAGTTGGTGAACTCCTTGTCGGTCAAAAGTGAAGCACTGAGCTTGCCTACTGTCAGAGACTGGACCTTAGAAGATAGCTCTCAAGAACTTTGGAAATAATTTTATATATATATATATATAAATTATATATGTGTATATACATATAAAACATGGTGTTGTAAAGCAAGCAGTTTTTGAAGAATCCCAATGTTAGTAAATAGCCACAATTTATCTTTTATATATAATTTTTGGAGAATTGTTCGTTTCGATATGACTTGGCATTTAGGTTATGGTCAATTAGTAATAGGGTAATTTCTGCAGCTAATCGTAGAAGAAATGAAAGAAGAACAAGTCTAATTACTACAGATCATAGGAATAGCAGGGTTCAATATTGCGTTGCAGCAGGTCGTTATGGTACGGTCTAAAAGCAATCTTGTTTCCTGGAACTAAAAAGTTGGGATCTTAACTTGTTTTTGCACTTTAGAATAATAGCATGAGAATCTCACTAATTTAGCATTCTAATAAAAGAAACTTTAGAGCAAGTCAGAGAATAGAGAGGTATCTTTCCTTTGAGGGATAGGTGAAGTAAACCAATAAGAACCTTCTAAACAAATTGTCCCATCACAAAACGCTTTTATATGGCTTCATTTTGTCAACGTGGCATTGTCTTTTGAGTTCTTTCTTTGTGCCCCACATTTTTTGTTTTGTTTCTTAAAGTAGAGATTCCCTCCAGTTTTATTAGCCTCTATGTCTCAAATTGCATGAAACTTTTCTGGCTGTTGGAAACCTGAATGCTTTTAGACCCAAATGGAAAATTTCTGAAATGCTGGATTATCTATTTTTAAACAAGCAGTTGACTTAAAACTTTCTGTGGCAACTTCTGGTTTTCTGACGGTTCCCAGTGAGAGAAATTCTGAAAGTACACTGGGATCACTGGGACACTGTCTTTGTGAAGGTTTGCTTGGGATGAAAAAGGATATTGCAGCTTCAGCAGTGTTGAACTGTGTGTTTAAAAATGTGAATTACTGTTCTTGTATACTGTAATTGATTACATGGGCTGGGGGGGGTGTCAAAGAACTTGACAGGTTGTGTTGATGCTCTTAGTTGAGTCTTGAAAAGTAAATATTAACGCTACAGAAATGCATGAGTTCAATATATTTTTTGTCTTTGTTTGCATTGTATAACTTTTAACGAGTGAGTTTAAAATTATTTAATTTCCTTAGAAAAATAGCACCATTTGGAAAATACTGGTGTTATGAAGAACGTAAATGCACTGTTTTTATTTTTATTTTATATAATTTAAATTGACTTCCCCACTGTCTTTAAGTTGAAACTGTTAAGCTGAATAAAAACTTAAGCTGCAAATTGATAACTTCGCTACATAACAAGGATCATATACATGTTTACAAACGGCTTAAAGATTTGCATGTGCAGTGTGCATTTATAACAAACTTCTAATTGCACAAAACCCATGCCAGCTCAAAGTTTAGGTGTACATTTACCCAGTTGAGCATTTTTAGAATAACTACTGCACAAATTGACAAAGCAAATAGGTTTTTCTCTTTTTTTTTTTTTTTTTTTTGCAACCTCTTTTCTCCCCCCCCCCAAACTCATGAAAAGATTCTATGGACTGAAAAAAGCCCCAGGCTGAAAGGGCTGGACTGCCTTGATTGACATGGGGAAGGGGGTTAGTAGACTATGTGTATCGGCAGCAGAGGCTGCAGCCCAATGTGTGGTTTTAATGACCAGCACACAGGGCAAAAGCATTTTGCACAGTGTTTGTTTTCCTGTCTTGCACTTACAAATAAGGTCTATGGGAGTAGCATGGAAAACGTTTGCTGTTTTTCCCTTTTTTTTTTAATTGCTTTTGTTTAAAATTTGATCGCCTTAACTACTGTAAACATAGCCTATTTTTGTGCTTAAGATACTGAATGGAAAACTCCATTGTGTGTTGCTGGACTGTTTTGGAAATATTTGGTCAAATGTGTGTTAATTTGGCTGTAATGGCATTTAAAGCAAACAAAGCTGTGAAAATGGCCTTGGAGCATTATCTTTAGTTACTTGAAGAGTTTCTAGTTTTTTTAAAATACAGTTTATGTTAAAATAATTTTTATTAATTTAGAGAAGACAATCAATGTCTGTGAGAAAAACGGACTTTCTTTTGGATTTTCTTTTTGTGGTCATTGTGAGTGATTGCTTCTTCCTTTTCTTAGTTTCCCATTCTTCCTTTGTTCTAAAACTTAGACTGACATCTAGCTTTGACAATCATAGTATGTTTTATTTTCCTGAGGGGGGAATAACTTATAATGCTGTTTAGTTTTGTACTATTGGTGTGTTGGTGAATTTTTAAACTGTGTGCTAACTGCAATAAATTATATGAACTGAGAATTTTCCGTGTGTGTGTGTGTGTGTGTGTGAATGAGTGTGTATGTGTGTTTGTATTACCACATACTAGTTAGATTCTAAGTATGTATAGTACATGGTCTCTTTAATATCAGTTCTATTCAGAGTTTATGAAATAATTAATGTGTGAGACCACCCAAATGGAAATAAGCAAACATTCTAATTTAAATGCACATTTAAAAAATATGACCCATTTTCTATGGTATCGATAAGAATGTTGAGGTAATTCCCCAGAAACTTGTGAATCCATGAAACTTCAAGTGGCACCACAGGGTTTTCACAACAGGCTGTCCAACCTGCTAATCCTTGCACTGTAAAGTTACTTTTCATGTGTAATTTCATCCTAAGTTGATTGGTCAAATCTACTCTGTGTTCTGGTTTAAGTGGAAAATTGAAGGGAGACCGGATGTCTTAATTTGGAAGACTGCTTGGCTAGTGAGTGGATTTGTAGGCAATTGAATTAGCAGGCACTCAGTTGTTCAAGATTAGCTATATGCATCCTCTTTGTTGCTGGGAGAACTTGAACAGTCCCAGGTTTTCTCAAATCTTAATTTAAAAATATTTAAATATGTGACATAAAAGGACACTTTCTTACCTTTTGTGATTGTCCCAATTTCAGGCCTGTCTTGTTGGGTATATGTCGGGTGAGAAACGTTGCTGGTTAACCTAGGGAATTAACCCTCAGGTGTGTGGATGGGACTGCAGAGGAATTGTCACAAGTGGCCCTAAATGGCACGTAGGGCTAGGCACTGGCCAGAGAGATTTTGTCAATCCTGAAGTCTAACTTCCAATCCTAAAAACGCATATTAAGAGTTTTACTATTGTTAAATACATTTATGCTAAATGACCTGTAGTAAGATTAATATTCTTAACCTCTGTAGAAGTGGAGTAAGATCTGAGATTTGACTGTGAATCACATAAGCTCCCTGACGGCTTTGGAACAGGAATCCACAAAGATTTTGTCATAAAGCACAACTGGAAATTTACAACTGGAAATCGTACATTTCCTCTTTTTATTGAAAATATGTATGCAATTTACACTTGATTTTAACCAGGCAAACGTTTCATATGCAAGGGGATTACACATTTGAACTCCGTGAAATAATTTCTTGAGCAGTTACAAACTTACAAAAAAGGACATTGACACTGGATTTCCTGAAGTAAGTGTCAGAGTAACTTAGAGCTTCACTGAGAATTCACTTATCAGGTAGTTAGTTCCCTTGGCCATCTAATTGTAGACGAACATTACCCTATCAAGCTCAACCACATACACTCATCAAAGCAATATTTTGACGTGGCTTGAAAATAACTTCTTAAAACACTGCAAAACTAGAACAGAATATTAATTATACACATTGCCACATTTGATAAGTGAGATGCAGGAATCAGTTTGATACATTTAATTAAGAAAATTTGTTGCACAATCATGTTGGAAACCATTAGGATGGATTCCTTTGACATCTGGCCTGATCCATAAGTATATTTTTAAATTGTGGTTTCACTTACTTTTGAAAACATGTTTCTTTCAGGTAATCAATTATGCCCTGGATCACTATGGGCCCAGCACTGTGTGCTAGCTTACTCTAGGGAATATGTCAGAAGCATGAAATGCTAAGGATCCTGGTTTTGGATTTCCTTTCTAGTTAATTATGCTATCAGATTAATAGGTGGATTAAGGGGAGTTTTTCTTTAATAGACTTGTCATGAATATCTACAAACAGATCTTTGAAAGGTTAGAAAAAGGTGAACATTAAAAGTACATAATGGTTCACATAACGACGGAACTAATTTTCCCAAATCTTTTGTTTTCAGATACACTGATGACCATTGAATAAAATGTTTTTTAATCTAAGAAATGACTACTTTAAAATCTTGAACGTCCATGCTTACAAATAAAACAAGCTATATAAAAACTTGATTTAAGAATTCTCATTGTTTTTTTAAAAAAAAGGCCTTCAGATCTCAAAATTCCTTATATTGCATGACATTTTATTCCTAGAAAGCTTAAAATGGGCTTTGACTTCTTATCAAGAGAGAAACCTATGCATGCCTTTGGATAGGAAACAGGTAATTTAAAAATTTAATCTGTAGATAATGATCTAAATTTTTATAAATATTTGTTGCACTATTTGAAATTGCTGATAAGGTATAGTGGGTGAAGCAAGAATGAATTTTGAAATGTAGGGCAGAAAAGGTCCATCCACATTAAAGTCTTTTTGCCCTTAAAATGTTAAAGGTAATATCTTTAAAAATAAGTAATTATTTTAAAAAAGCAAACAGCTTTTAGGAATTTTATTTTGGCTTGAGTCCAAGTTTATTACACTAACAGGATTTTGCTCCTCATGTTTAAAAATGTCTACCTTTTGCCTACAGAAGCACAGCAAAACATCTTTGTATGTGATCCTTCGGTCTAAGATTAGAACTACTTTTTGACCAAATCACCTTAGTTCTATATAAAGAAATACTGTGTATTTCTAGCCCTTCCATCCCTGCTCAAACTTGCTTAACGTTATAAGAGGATCGCAAAGCAGTCAGATCTTACTGATGACACAGTGTTTTTTAGAAATATTAAATCATTTTCAGAGACACTTTAGAAATTAGACTTTCAGTATTTTTGCAAGCCAACGCCTTAAAAAAAGAAAACAACAACCTCTACTAATTAACGTAATTTCATGTGAAAGAAGCTGAACTCCAAATGTAAAAAAACATTGTGATGAGAAAGGGTGAGATCTTGGAAATAACGGCTTGA